GGGGGGGGGCGACGGCGACAACATCGTCGTCGCGGTAACGGCGGTGGCGGCGGTGGCAGCTTACGACGTCGGCGGCGGTCGGCGTGGCGGCGGCGTCGCTGGTTGGCCGCAGGTTACCTCGACGCGAGGCGACGTCGTCGTCGTGATGCTGCCGACGCGGTGGTGCTTTCACGCAAGGAATACGAGTCATAATCATAACAATTATCACGATAGCCGCGACCGGTCGCGGGCGTGCGGCTTGAGCAGTGTGACGGGGGCGGTGCGGGAAGGGACGAGGGACGGCCCAGCAGTGCTGCGCGCCCCGCGGCGCCCCCACCTGAACAAGAAGAAGGGCCTGCTGTTGGCCGTGCCCTGCAGGCCCGCAGGCACTATACGGACAGCCTCATGCATTCGCAAGGGCAGCACGTCGACTCCGGGCCCCGCCGCCGCAGCAAGAGAAGCAGAAGTACAAGGCCCTGAGCCTGGCTCCTCGGCCGGCCCGGCCGGCGCGGCAGCCAGCGCGCCCGAGACGCACACTGCAGGGAATTCGCGATGAAAAATTCAGCGTGCGACGGCGTTCTTCACCACCGGCGACCGCCGCATGTGCGAGAGGGAGAGAGAGGGGCTGCTGCTGCTGGTGGGGCCCATGGGAGTGGGAAGGGGATGGACGGCCAGGCCCTGCTGCTGCTCGCGGGGTCGTTTTCCGCTGGCTTGCGCTCTGCGCTCCCCCAAGCTCGCCGGGACGAAGGAGGCGGGCGGGCCGGGCGGGCCGCCGGTGGAGCGGCGGCGATAGAGAGGCTCCTGCCACCGGGGTGAGAGGGACTGACGGGGGATGGGAGTGGAGATAGGAGGTAATGAGGATTGAGGGTGGAGCTGCCCGCGCCGCCCCGCGCCCGCCTGGTGAGGGCGAGCAGGGCAAGCGGCTGCCGCTAAGGGGCGGCCTTTGACCGCGGCGCCGGGAGAAATATATAGGGATAGGGGAGGGAGGGGACTTTGCGCGGATAGAGGTAGGGCTGAGGGGGGGAGGATAGGGCCGCGTGTTAGGGGCTGGAGGAGTGAGACGTCGAGCGTGAGAGCACGACGCGAGCGCTCTGCCCCGAGCGAGCAGCGAGCACGTGGGCGCGGTGGGCGGCGTGTTTGGGGCAGCGGGGCGGCGAGGCGTGGCGCGGGGGTGGAGAGCACTACG